TTTTTTTTTTTTTTTTTTTTTTGCCTGAAACTATTTGCAGAATTTCCCTCAAATTTTTATAAACAGTTTCAGTTGACTCAGAATTAGGGTTTTTTTGGTGAATAAATTATCTATGTAAAGTCTCTCTCCCATAGCTCTAATCCTGGTGCACAGACAGTCCTATGACATATTTCCTTAACATCCTCTTTATTCCAGTCTTGGCTTCTTGTGTTCAGTATTCTAGGGATGCATCTCTTCGGCTGTAAGTTTGCTTCCGAGAGAGACGGGGACACCCTTCCTGATCGGAAAAACTTTGACTCCTTGCTCTGGGCCATCGTCACTGTTTTCCAGGTACACCAGCAAAACCTCTTGAACAAGCATATGCTTTGGGACTGCAAGAAAGAGGGACAGTCCATGTCCGTTTTCCAGAACACTTTATACAAGTCAGAAGACTAATTGCCAAGGGGGAGAAAAATTGGAAAGCAGCAGGGGAGGATGAAGGGTTTCAGACAATATTTGGAAAAAAATGGAGAGCTAAGAAAAATAGAGCTAGCAGCAATGTCAGCAGCTGCGGAGAAGAAGGCTCTTGTATAACTGATGGCAATGTTTTGAGAGAGAGCGGAGAGGTAAAGTGCTGGATGAGCAGGAACGTGAGCTGGGAACTAGTCTGTGATCAAGGCTGCAACAAGTCCCTTGAGCAAGAAAGGTGGTGTGGAGTCGTATCTCTCCAGTGTTTTACAGCAATAATTTATACACGTGGCAAATGGGGACTATATATTTTCAGTCTCTGCTGGATTTAGCTGTCCTTGCAGGTAGAAGGAAATGCCGTACTTCACAGTCACTTACAGGTTTCTCTTGCCTGTGATACTAATCGGTGCTAGGGCAGCTTGTTGCCCATAGTCCAAAGCATGGTTTAGTGATGAGTAGGGGCATGAGAGTCAGGACTCGCGGGTGTTTTCTCTGTTTCTGCTATGATCTAATGGATAAAGAGGGGCAAGTCTGATTTGAAATTCATTTACAGTACTTCCCTTGAGGGCCAAGTGCAATATCCTCATTTACCAGAGCACTATCAGCACTATACCAGGGTAAAGTGGTATAGTTGGGCTGGACTGCCATTTGCCTATTTAAGGCTGGAGACACTATTCTGTCTGTCCAGAGTATATGTAATGCTACGTGTCCTAGACCGCCCCGCTAACAGAGCATGTCAACGGGGACATGTCTCCTAGTGGTCACGCTGCCGTCTTTGATGCCTCTGTCCTCTCTGATGTCTCCCAGTGCTCACGCTGCTCTTTCTCCCCAGATCCTGACACAGGAAGACTGGAACAAGGTTCTCTACAACGGCATGGCTTCCACCTCTTCCTGGGCTGCTCTCTACTTCATCGCCCTCATGACATTTGGGAATTATGTTCTCTTTAACCTCCTGGTGGCCATCCTGGTGGAGGGTTTCCAGACTGAGGTAATGCTTTAAAATATTCACCTCTTTACCTATTTGTTTCCAGAGTGGAAGGGATGCCAACACCAACATCCCTCTGCAATTTGATAAATTAAAGGGAAACTAATAGATTGGAGAATCCTGTAAAGAAAAATGGAGAGAGAATACTAGCTCTTCTTTCCCCCTCTTTCGTAGCTAGGGCCGAGTGTAATAAACCAAGCTGTTTAGCTGATCGTAAATGAAAAGGATTCTTAGCATTAATGCAACTGCAAGAATTCGGCTGTGAGTCCGTCAATGCTGATGGAATAAATGCTATGACAGTGTCTTTGAAACTGGCTTCGCTGTGTGCAGGAGCCAGATTAAAAGCCACCCGTATAAAGTTCTGCAGGCTAGTTAGAGATTAGTGGCATCATTATCTTTTTGATGGCCTGCACTCGTGGATCTTGTCTTCCTTCCAGTATAGCAACACTTCTGCACATTTTTAACTCCATTCTTTCTTATCTCTATCAACTGACTCCCAGGGGTAGGAGCTTCTATTCAATCTCCTCTACCTCCCTAAGCACCGGTGGGAATACAGCGCAGGTGTCTTAGATTTGAATTGAACTTGACCTCGTGTCTTTCTAAGTATCCAGTTTAGATTGGATGAACATATAATGGACTCCCTCAAACTAGCGACCAACTTGTGCTG